CTTCACACTCTGCTCTTACTGGTGCAATGTGCAATCAATGAAGACTGGCTACCAGGCTGGTCCAATTTAGCCATGAAACCTCCCACACTAAAATGGCAGGTGTTTCAGTTTCATTGTCCAACCCCTGCATATGTCTGTGAAAGGTGCTATAGAAATAAAATGTATTTACTTACTTACTTACTTTATGTAAACCTAACGTACTGGAGTGTGAGTGTTTATTATTTTTCATAGTTTAATGCAGACAGTGGGCTCAGTGGGAAGAGTAGTTGTCTTGCAATCAGAAGGTTGTGGGTTTGATTCCAGCTCCCTCCTGACTGGAAAAGCGCTATATAAGTTCAGTCCATTTACCATCCTCTTCAACTTGTCTACCCATCTTCTACTTTAAATAAATATTTGCTTTTGATTAGACAGTCATGGTATGAAATGGAGTAATGACGAAAATTCAATCTGGGAGACTCACCTACTCCTCCAGCTTCATCCAATGGCTTCTCCGTGCGTCTCCGCGCCAACCAATCAGCATCAAGTCTGCAGTAATCGTCAGCCAATGATCCTTCAAGGCTCCACATTTAAAGTCTCCCATTCATGGATCTCCCAGCTGTCAGCCGAGCTTTGATTCTCCTTCTAAGCATCAACGAGAAACTCCTGCCTGTAACCCAGCTCCTGCTACCACTTCACCCGGTCTTCCCCGGCAGCAGCTTCTCTTTCGAGCAATCATCCGGCACCCCAGGCTTCCTCGTCTTCTTCTACTCCGGTTCTCCCTCAATCCTCCCTGCTTCGTTCATTCCGTTCATGGACTCTCTCCAGCGCTCGAACTATCATCAATTACTCAGCTTCTTCAGAAATTCGCTTCCATCTCTGCCACGTCAGCACTTCCTTGTCTACGCTCTGCCGACGCTCAACCCGTTCCTTGGCTCCTCCCACTGTCATTACCATCACAATGCTCATCCTGGCTCGTCTCTAAGGGTGAGATGCATCACTTCATTCTCTTTTCTCAACTATTCCTCATTCATATGCAATTCAGGTTGCTGCGTTTCCACTCCTCTTTCACATTCAGGTAGGTCATATACTCCCACGCATTTTATCATATCACTCAGGCTCTGCTCCAAATCTTTCAAGAGCAGCTCATTAATCTGGTTTCTCTCATTGTTACCATGTCCTGAGGTCGACTACTGTGTCACTTCCCCTGATGGCTGTACTGCTAAGTTTGGATCATCTCATGTCCGCTTCTCTAACAATCTCCCTTTCGGTGAGCTCGTGCCGCCTTTAAGCATTTCAGACGTCTTCTGCTCTTAACCCTAAATAAACTCAATCTCATCAGTCCCTCATCATCGACATTCATTTCAAACAGGGCTTCCCGGTTTTCTATCATATCACATTCCATCTCTGTCAGCGGCATCCACTTTCACGTAATCAGGAGTCTGCTAAACCGTTCATTCTTGTCAATGAAAGTTATATCATGACGCAGCCACCTCTGATTCCAGCGGCTCGTTAGCCATCAGAGCGTTCTTTGTTCTTGTCTTCCTTCTCCCAGCACTCCTACCCAGCAACTCAAGCTGCCGGCTTCCCGCCCCAGTTTCCTCTCGATCTGGATGGTATTTCTTTCTTTTACGGCGATGCCGTTCTCCCGGCTGACTTGCTCCAGTTTTCGGTCTCTAGTCCCGGTCCAAAAGACAGCCTCTTGAAAGGATGATTCACAATTTGTTGTCAAAACTTGCATGTGAACTCATCATTATAGCTAAGAATATACAGAACCTATTACCTTCGTATTTCTAACAATATGCTGCTTTAACTTTTTGCCTTATCTTTCATCATAAATGAATTTTACCTTAAATTATTTCAACCCCTTTTATCGTTAAATATTTTTCCTTGCTATTATAATAAGCAACAGTTAAATGAAACAATTAAAAATGTTCATGGAACTTCACTTATCCACTTTAATAGCAGAAGTATATACAAATTTCCAGAACATAAAAGAATATTTGGTGCAGTTTACAAAACACGTAATATTATTGCAATCTCTAAAACATGACTTACAGCTGATAAGGTGATGAATACTGAGTTGGATGGATACGAATTAAAGTGTATGAATAGAAAGTTTAAAAAAGGAGGTGGTGTGGCTCTGTATGTTGAACAGAGCCTCAAGTATAGGGTTGTAGATAGTATGACATTATCCATAGATGACATATTGGAGTGCCTCACTATTGAAATTTACATAGAAAGAATGAAAAATATAGTTGCTAGTTGTGTGTACAGAACACCAGGATCAAACATTTAACTGTTTAGTAATATTATGGAGGATCTGTTCTCAAAAACAACACAAAAGACCAATTTTATATGTGGGGAATCCTGCTGAATCCCAAAAAACACAAAAGGACGGATGATTTTATCAAGTGTATGCATAGTATGAGTCTCAACAATCACAAAACCAAGTAGAATAACGTTTAATAGTGCTATCTGATTCAAAATATCTGTCATAGTGTTAATGGCCGACTTGACCCACATGCAGAAAAACACAACTAAACAGAGAAGCATTTCAGAAGTTTTATTTGCAGAACCAGGTACTGGAAACCGAGGATGCTGAGCGACTGCAAGAGAAAGCGAACGCAGGTAAGACACCACCACAGAAACT